TCAAAAGAGGGAACAAATCTTTACAGCAAGAACCATTCCTACCCCCTCCATACAGAGTGGACAAGGAGGGCAACTTGGACATTGGCTATCCAAAATGAGGGGACTACAAAGGCAAGAAGTGACTGGCTTACAAGCTTTCAAGAGGGAACCTAGATCCAGAGGGTGTGGAGGAAGGTAGAATCTCCACTAAGTAGTATCCAATCTGTCTAGGCGGGGCTGATGAAATGAAATGCAGATAGGTCTCTTATGATACAAGCGTGAATAATTGTTACCAGGACTGATTGTGAAGGTTGTAAATGTAAAAGTAGATATTTTGTGGCAAGGAGGGGAGTGATTAACTTTGCAGGCTAGGAGTGGAGATCCCTGGAAGCATGAAGGGAGAAAAGCAGAGAGCAGGACCCTACCCAGAGAAGCAGCGATCCCTGAGATGGAGGCAAAGGTGATGATGTGGGGAGATGGAGCAGCTGGGTTCTTGGGACTCAGGGAGGGAGAGGGGGAGAGGACCTGTGTGCTGATGACAGGGGGTGGGGGGTGGGGGAGCAGCCTTATAGGATGTACCCTTTCGTTGATTGGTGATGCATGGAGGGGGTTGTAACGATGGCAATGAAACAATATATGATAGGATGAATGTAAAGCTAATGTTCTCTCATGTAAACTATCACATAATTCACAATATAACTTTTAAAAATGTATATATATATATATATATATCACTGCTCACTGATGGAGGAGGCGTGGTACCGCTATGCGTTAAGCATGGGACTATGAACAAAAAGGGTGGTGATTAGAACCACTTGGCAGCAGAAAGCAGGAGCAATCTGCTTCCACAAAGATTTACAGCTTACTCTATGGGGGCAGCTCTCCTCTGTTCTTCCCATAGATTCGCTATAAGTTAAATCGATTCAACAGCAGTGGGGCTTTTTGGTGGATTTTCGCTGGTAACATAGTGGTTACGAATCAGGCTGCTAACTTCAAGATCAGTAGTTCGAAACTACCAGCTGTTCCTCAGGAGAAAGATGAGGCTTTCTGCTCCCGTAAAGATTTACAGCCTCAGAAACCCTGTACAGGGTCGCTATGGGTCGGAACCGACTCCACGGCACATCACAACAATAAGAACTGATGGTACCGCTTAAGATGTAATTCTAAATTCACACACAAATACAAAAAAAACCCCACAAGGCCAGTCAAACACAATTTCTTCATTATATAAACCCCAAACCAAAATTCATTGCTGTCGAGTTCATTTCAACTCATAGCGATCTTATTATAGAACGGGGTAGAGCTGCCCTATAGGGTTTCCCAGGCTGGTATCTTGATAGAAACAACTGCTACAACTTTTCCTCCCACGGAGCCACTGCTGTGTTTGAAACACCAAGTTTTTCATTAGTAGCCAAGCACTTTAACCACGGCATCACCAGGGCTTCATATAAAGTAATAAAATCGAAATCAGGAGAGTCCACATATGAGACCACAGATCCGGCCAACACCTTGCTTGCAGCTCTGTGAAGTATTGAGCAACACACCCAGTTCTGCACCAAATATCCTGATCTCACAAAATCAACTGGAGTCCTGATGTGACGCTGTGGGTTAATGTGCTGGACCGCAAAGTCAGTTTAAACCACAAGGTCAGTGGTTCAAGCTCCCTGGAAATCCTATACAGGGTTGCTATGAGTTGGAACTGATTCAACGGCATTTAACAACAACAACAACAAAACAAACAAACATAAAACCAAACAGCTGCCATATCAATTTCAATTATGACACACACACACACACACACACACACACCCCATGTTTGTCAGAACTGCGCTCCATGTAGTTCTCAGGGGCTGAATTTTTGGGAGTAGATCATCAGGTCTTTCTTCCGAGGCTCCTCTAGGTGGACTCGAACTGTGAACCTTTTGATAGCAGCCAGTACATCAACCTCCTCTTCTTGGGTGGGTGAGGGGGAAATTTCATTTTCAAGTAAAAGAACAAAGAAATATTTTAGAAATTTTTTAAAATTTAAAAACACTTTCTCTTTTCTTTTTTTGGTAAAAACAGCCTCCTGCTCCAAGAGTTCTGAGCTGAACAGGAAGGCGGCAGAAGCACCTGAAGGAGTCCCAGGGTGGTAGCAGCTTCCAAGGAAGATCTCAGTCCAGGGGCAAGTTCAAGTCCACAGGAGAAACAGCCAGGATGCCGTTCTGTAGGGGGAGAGTGGCAGGGCTTATGAACAGCACTGGGTGTCCCACCATACATAGCCACCCACCCAGGGAGGTCAAAGATGGAGTGGCAAGGATGCAGGAGGAGCAGGGACCCAAAGGGAGAAGGAGACAGTGAATCAGACAGGGATGGGCAGTGAAGAGAAAGAGGGGGAAATAGAGACCTAAGGAGACAGAGATCTAGAATGAGGGGGGACAGAGACTCACAGACAGAGGGAACAGAGACCCAGAGAGAGAGGGAAGACAGAGACTCAGAGAGGAGGGACAGAGATCCAGAGAAAAGGGGACAGAGACCTAGACAGGGGTGGATAGAGATCCAGAAAGATTTGGGGGACAGAGCCCCAGAGAGAGAAGGACAGAGTCCTGGGGTTTGAATGACTAAGAGCACTGTTAACGGGGAGAGTGATATTCATTCGCTCCTTTGTAAAATGAGGACAACTGAACCTACAAGCAAGGTAAGCATGGTCTTGCTTGTGCTTACTTACCCATCTGTAGTGAAGCGTCTCACATGTTCACATCAAGTAGTGAAAAATATGTGAAACTGTTCACTACAGATGAGTAAGTAAGCACAAAGAAGCCCGTGCTTACTTATGTTGCTTATTGGGTAATCCAACTCCAAACCCCATGAGTGTTGTGGCATCTAAAGTGATCACTCCCATGAAATCCTAGCTCCAGTACTTGGCCCACGGCAAATACACACCATTACAGAGAGAAACAAAGAAAGTATAAATAAGTGAACCGCTTCGTTGAGCTCCAGAAACTGCAATCCACAGCTGCCTGGAAATCTTTTGGTGGGCCTGAAGGAATCTCATGCTCATCGCTCACGCCATCTCCTGATCCCCATTCCGGCAGCTAGCCCTCCCGTCAACACCCTGATCCTTGTGTTTGGCCCAGTCCCCACATCCAGTCAACTAGCCAAATAGAGCAGCAAGGCCTTCATGTGAATCTAGAATCTGGTTGGTTTACTGTCTCACCCTGGTCTAACCACACTTCACCTCCAGATTCTCCACTTCTACAGGCTGTTCCCCATAAGGCCGCCAGGGGGCGCGGGTTACCACCCACGCAAGCGCAAGTCCTTCCTTGGTTTACAGCCCTCCTTGGGCTAACTGCACCACCCACACAGTCAAAGTTCAAGGTCTCACCTTGACCCACGAGACCTTGCATCATCTGAGCGTTCTCTTCCTGTGTTCATCTCCCGCTTTTCCCCTCAGTTCACCCAGAGAGAGAAAGAGCATCAGAGATCCAAGCGAAACCAGACTGAGAGAGAAAGTATAACCCAGACAGGGGTGGATAGAGACCCAGAAACAGGGAGAGAGATAGAGACAGAGGCAAAGATAGCCAAAGAGATGGATGGACAGAGAATGGAGGGGGGTCGGGGGTTGGAGAAAGAATGGGATAGAGACAAAGGTGACACTGAAGATTGGAAAATCCCCAATCAGATGTAGAAATTAGGGGAGGGGCTGTGAATTGGAATGTAACCCATTTGATGTAATCTTCTGTAAAATGATGTAGTAAAGCCATTGAAATGGAAGGTTTCTTAGGGTGTGGTCTGTCTCCAAACTACTGTATAAACAGATATTTTGACAGATCTCTCCCCTTCTCCCTCTTGGAGCTGCACCCTTCCCGTCAAATCCACCAGCCTCTCTCTAAAGGAGAAAGATGAGGTTCTCTACTCCCACAAAGATAAATACATGTGAGTCCTGGTGGTGTCGTAAGATAATCATCGGACTGCTAACTTCAAGGTCGAAAGTTCAAATCCACCAGCCTCTCTAAGGGAGAAAGATGAAGCTTTCTACTCCCATAAAGGTTTACAGCCTTGGAAACCCTATTCAGGGTTGTTATGAGTCATAATTGACTCCATAGCATTGGGGTTTGGTTTGGTTTACATACATACATACACACAAGACCTTCAAAAAAAGTTTGTGGAAAAATTCCATATCTTTCTATTCCATTTCCCATGAACTTTTTGAAGCCTCTCATAAATACAAGCAGTCCCCAACTTATGACATATTCTAGTTACAACAAATTGTATTTGAAACTTTTTTTTTTAAAGTGACTTTTACTTTAAATATATTTATCTGTAAGATTATATGGAATGTTCCCAATGCCCAAAAATACCCCATAAAGATCAGCTTTATAAAGATATTGATAATTAAAAGTGTTAATAATGAAAACTTTAAAAAAAAATTAAAGATATTCAATTTATCAGAACTGATTGACAATGGAGTCATGGAATGGTGTGGTACCCTGTCATAAGGTGGAGACTACCTGTTCACCTAACTGTCCTATTTCTTCAGAAGCCCTGTGACACTAGGGGCAGGGCATTTAGTAACCAGTGGGGAGGCAGACAGCGATCCAATAATTACGCACACAAATGCCCATGGTGTCCCATGCACTGCACCAAATACTTAAGGGAATGATCCCATTTTAATCCTTAGAACAACCTTGTTAAGTAGATACTACACTCTCTTATTTTACACATGTGAAAACTGAGGCCCAGGTGAGGCCCGCGTTCCGCGGTTCACAGTGTGCTAATGTACCACAGACTGGTATAAACTTTTGATAGTGTCTGAGCTATCACTGCTCCCTCGGGTATACAGTGGAAGCTCAATAAACACAGAAGGAAGGAATGGTAGAGCTGAGCAAACACCCGTCAGATCAGAAAGGAAATCTAAGAAGCCAGCCCCCTCCCACATTACAATTGGGTAAAAGCAGGCTCCAATGGCTCACCCAGCCCCCGTGGGCCTGGATCCAGGGTGTGAAGCTCTGCACGTGCTCCACGCTGAGCCCCGCCAGCGTGCCCCCTAGGCCAGCCACGCGCCGGCTCAGCTCCATGGCCAGTGCTAAGCGTGCCAAGGGCTCCGGGGAAGGTGGTGGGGGGCCTGGGCATGGTGACAACGGGCGTGCACAGCTGGGTCGAGGGCTAGCCTCACGACTGGAGAACAGTTCTGCCAGGCGGGCGAAAGAACCCATGGAGAGACGTGTCAGCTTTCGGCGGAGATCAGGGTCTGAGGCCAGCTAGGAGAAAAGAAAAAGAGGCAAAATCACCCGTCAGGCCTCCTTGCCCACGTCCAGCCAATAGGAGGCTAGGAGGCGTGGTTTCTGGCTGAGGTGCAATCTAGATGATAATAGTTTAAGCCATGCCTCTACTCATTCCATCACCCAATCATAAACCAGCTTCTATGGTCTCTTCTCAACTGTTTTTTTTTTGTTGTTGTTGTTGTTAAGCGCATCGAGTTGGTTGTGAATCAGGGTTTCCAAGGAGCGGATGGTGGGTTTGAACCGCTGACCTTGCAGTCCAGAGCTTATCCTATAGCGAGCGCAACACTAGGACTCCTCCCTAGTGGTGGATCCTCAATCAGGGCCAAGACCAACTTTCCCTAGGATCCAAATTGCTAACTTTCTAGCTACACTGTGCTGTTCCTTGGCCAATCAGAACTCTGGAGGCCAGACAAGGTTCTATGACAACCTCATCCTCTAACAAACAGTAGTACAGGGACAAGGACTTAGTCCAGATTCCTGGGCCAATCAGATTCCAGGACACAAAATAAGCCACACCCCCTCCAGTTACCCATGTTGCTCTTTTTAAGCCTTAGATCTTAGACAGATTCCCCCCAAACCCTCAGAAAGATCTCCTCTCTCCCACAGCTTGGCCCAATTTCTCTCCTAGATCCTGTCTTTGATGGTCACACCCTGACATTTAGGTCACATCTCTTGACTAATTCACGAAAGCAACTCATTTACAGAACTTGTCCCACCTTCTCCCCACCAGAGCATCCAATGAGAATGAAGACCCAGCTTCTTTCTGATCCAGTTCCTAGCCACCCTCCAATTCATGTCCTCCTTGAGGGATGGAACAGCCCACTCATCACCTTCTGGTTGATGACTTCCGCCTCCTCCTCCAGCAAGGCCACCAGCTTGCGTAACAAGGCTTCTTTCTCAGTAGGCGGGGGTCCCTGTAACTCTAGGAGCAGAAGAGACTTCTAGTAGGGACAGGACCTTGGCTATCTTCCTGGTGTTGTTCACTGCCAAGGAATCAGTCCTGATACTCAGAGTGACCCCCATGCACAACACAGACCATGTGACTCATAGGGGTCTTCCTGGCTGATTTTCAGAAGCAGATGCCAGGGCTTTTTTCCTCATCTGTCTTAAGTTTGGGAGCTCTCTGAAACGTGTTCTGCATCATGGCATCATACACACCCCCATGGCTGCACATGAAGTGCATGGGCAAGGAATCGAACCCAGGTCTTCACTAAGCAGAATTCTGGGAGGCGAGAATTCTACCACTGGACAACCCTACATCCTGACTGGCTGCCCTCTTAACCCCATCCTCCTCCAGGGTCCCTCTGTACCTTACCTGGGCTAGGAGGTGATCTGAGTTGCTCTTGGACCAGCTGCTCAAGCCGTTGGGCCACGAGGGTATAGAAGTCTGAAGTATCTGGGCCTGGGGTCAAAGTGTGGCATGAGGAATCTGAAGGGCATCAGGAGCTTAGGGGTTCTCTTTTTCTCTATATAAGTTTGCCAGATAGCAACGATTCCCATTTTATAAGAAGCTGAGGCCCAAATTAGTAAATTGGGTAGCAAAAGACCCCAAGCCTGTACTTTCTTTCCATTTCATTGAATTCTCATACTGTCACATTGAATTCCCAGAATGTGACAGCTAAACTGAAACCTTGAAGATCATCCCACCCAAGGAAAGCAACTACATGGCATTCCAGCTCTTACCACCCTAGCTCTTGCCCATTTCAGGCATCACCAATTGATAACAGCACTCTTGTGAAATCCTTGTCAAGGTAGTACGTTTAACAGGCATTGCTAGTCTACCCAAACTCACCTATGAGAGGAAACCAGTTTGTCATTCTTGATTATGTCCAACGACATCCCTCCCCCTTGCCTACTTTGCTTTTGGAGAAACAGAGATGCAAGGAAGAGAAGGGTGTCTCCAGAAGGAATAGTGTTGGAAAACCGGTCTCTTGCCTCTCCATTGAAGGTACTTAGAGCTGCAAAATTGCTAGAGGCAGGGAAATGTGAAGGAGAATGATAACAACTAGATATCAACTAAACATATAACTAGGTAGATAGGGACCACCAGCCAGCCCATGAAATTGGCAGATAAAAATCTAATTTGATGAGTAGGATGGGAATAGAATGGTGAGAGTTGGTGCTATAGTCCCCACATAGTTATTCTTTAACTGAATGATCTCGAACTAGTTTCTTATATTCTCTGTGCTTTAGGAATCAAGGCTCCTGGCCCCACCAGTTATATGGGTGATCTGAAGAAATCTCTTACCAGGCTCTGAACCATAGCAGGGATGGAGGGGCAGGGAACAAGGTCGAGGGGACTCAGGGGGAACTGCTCCTTGACCCAGAGGGCAGGGAAGACATCTGCGAAGTCTGCTCAGGAAGGCTGTTGGCTGCTCCTGGGTGGGGCTCCTAAGGAGGAAGACCTCAGAGAACTCGTGCAAGCTGTCTCCATCTCTCACTGAGGTCTACCTCCCTGAAACCTCAGGAACAGGGAACAGAGCCAGTATAAAGTGAGGAAAGGAGACAGACTGAGACCAGAAGCAAGAGTCAGAAAGGGTCTCACCCCAAATGCAGGCCCCTATAGGAAGAGTGAAACTCCTCTTACCTGGGTGGGTTCGTAACAGGGGCCCCGGCAGCCTCACCCCGCCTAAGGAAAGCTGCTAGGACCCTCAGCGTGTCCTCGCGGAGCCCCAGTTCCTCGGAGCCTGCCATGGGAGCACCTATGAGAGAAGACGCTGGGGGCTGGAGCCCAGGGTCCAGAGGGAAGCAGCAGCCCAAACTCTTAGTCTCTCTGAATGAGGAAGAGGCTTAGGTAGGGGCTTGGATTGTTGAAGTCCTAAGGAAGAAAGGGGCTGAGGGCCTGGAGGGAGTTGGGAACTACGACTCTGGGATTCTGGGTAAGGAAAAGACTGGAGGCTTGGCCTCCTGATTCTGTAGGAGAAAATCGCTGGTAGCCTAAAAGGGAGAAGGGGGCTGAAAAAGGACTAAGAGAAGACACATGGATCATAGGGAAGGAGAGAGGCGAGGAACTGAACTCTTGACTCTAAGGGAGGAGGAAGCTGAGACCTCGGAGATCCTCCAGGGCTAATCCTCTTGGATTCAGTAGGCATTTGCCAAATTACTAAATCCCTAGAGGATCCACGACTACTAATCACAGCAGGTTTCCTGACACACAGTCCCCCCCACCCCTCCGTTCGCTCTAGTTTGTCGCACAGACTGCCGGGAGTAGTAGTAATTCCACTATGACTCACTCTAGACTCTTGGGGACCCGGGATGCTTGGGTGTATGTAGGAGAAGCGGGGCGGGAATGCCCGATACTCGGTCCCGGTCTCTCCTCTTCCCTGTTCGCCCAGCCCTCGGTAATGCCTCACTCACCTGGCCCCGGACCCGGTCTCCGCCTCCTCCTCCAGTGAACTTGTGCAAACTTTTCTTTTAAAAGTTTACCTTTCCCGCGCCTGCGCACTGGGTCAGGTTGCTGTCCGCCCCAGCGTAAAAGGGGCGCGGGTGCTGTCTGCCTACATAAACTGTGGATAAAATTCCCAGCAGTCTTGTATCCGGAAAGCCTTAAAAGGGCATGAGGGAGGGCTCTGTGTTGACATGACCGCCCCCTTTGCCCTGTAAACTGGCACACAAATGTTAATTTTTATTAGAAGACGTTGATGGAAAGGAAAAGCCCCATCGCTGTAGAATTCAGCTGACAGTAAGGGGAGGGAGACTGCACAGTTTCGAGTTCGACCCTGAAGATAAGAGTGGCCCCTGCGCGCCCCAATCGTCGACGTAGGTGACGCGGAAGTACTGTGGAGTTAGTTGGTGCCGCCACAGGGTGAAGGACGGGAGGGAAAAAAGGGGCAGTCCTCACTGATTATCTGGAGAATTCTAAATTTATTTTGTGTATTCTGGAGAGAGTGGTGCGAGGGAGGAGGGGGCTACTGAGGTCGGCAGGAGAAAGAGGTCTCTATTACTAGGTGAAATCTACACTGGGGGACCTAGAGGGGAAGAAGGGTGTAATAGGAGGGAGCCCACTCTAGAAACTGAGACATGCCCTGGATTAGGGAGGATATCGATTGGGGAGAACTGTAGGTGGCAATGGGAACTTGAGGTCTTCGGTGGGGGAACCGTGGAGAGGGTTCGATCTACACTAGGGTAACTGCGGGAGGTAGACGTCTACACTGAAATAATTTAGGAGAGTAGGGGAAGTGAGGAAGGGAAGAATTTACAGTGAAAGAAAAAAGAGTCTAGGCGGAACTAAGGGGTAGAAGTCTGCACTAAAGAAGCTTGGAAAGGTAGGGGTCCTCGCTGCATTGATGAACTGCTCTGGGGGATGGGAGGAGGCCTGCGGGCCGTTAAGTGCCCACGGAGGAGGTAGGTTTGCACCCCAGAAATCTTGGCTGAGGGGCCTGCACCATGGGCCTGGAGTGAGAGGCGCAGGTGGACCGGAGAGGGCTCTCACACCCAGGAACTGCCTGCCCTTCTGCCTATAGGCCAGAGCATGGGGACCCAAAAGCCGCGGATTCTGCCCTGGCTCATTTCACAGCTTGACATGGGACAGATGGAGGGCGTGGCCTGGGTGGACGCGAACCACACACGCTTCCGTATCCCTTGGAAGCACCACCTGCGGCAGGATACGCAGGAAGAGGACTTCCGCATCTTCCAGGTGCTTAGAACTGGGCGCGGGAAAGTCGGGGCTGCGAGCCCTGGCGGAAGGACTTCGAGGGATCGGGGATCAAGGGCGTGGCTACCACTCGTGGGGCGGGGCCTAGTGGGTAGAGCTAGGCTGGGCTATGGCGGGAAGTGGTGAAGTTTGCAGGACTAGTGGCCAAACTGCAGGTAGTGGGTAAAGTGAGAATGCTTTCATTAAGAAATGAAATCGTAAAAGCGTGTTTAGCATGCGGTGGCAGGGCCTGCAAAGAGAAACAGACGAGTGGTGTGTGTGGGATGGGCACTTGTAGGTGGGGCTAGGAGGAGCTATGACGGGAAGAGGCGGGGTTAGTAGGACAGGTGTCCTGACTGTAAGTAGTGGGTAGAGAATGCTCTCATTTAAGAAAGTGAAGTTAGCATGCGAGGGCGGGGCCTGCAAAGAGTTTAGAGATCTGCGAGTGGAGGTGGGCGGAATTATATTGGGCCTGGTGGTCCGAAGTGATGGCAAACCTGGACTTCTCAGGTCCTGGAAATCTCACTGGAATGGAGGGATTTAAACGCCGAGGAAAAGCATCCTGGAGGGTGGGGGATCCCTGGTTGCAGAATTTCTGGGGCAGGTCTTGGGACTTTGGAAGAGAAGCTCAGAGCCTCAAAGTTGAGTTACAAAGAGGGATTATTTATTACAAAGGGTGACCTGGGACAGATTGTTGTTAAGTGGTTCTGACTCAATAGTGACCTTGTATAGAGTTCCCAAGGAGCAGCTGGTGGATTTGAAAGCAGGTGATAGGTGGGTTTAAAACAATAGAATCCAGCAGGCTGGATTCGAAGGAAATGTTTTTGAATGCTGTGGGGAGGTCTTGGGGTGCGAATCCGTGTGTAGGGGTAGAGTCTTGTTGAGATAGCACTTCTGGAGAGAGGTGGGTTTAAGTGTTAAATCTCCAGGAGTGGAATCAAAGTTTTCTCCCCTCCCCTACCTGCCTCCTTGGGACCCCCTAGGCCTGGGCAGAGGTCAGCGGTGCCTACAATCCCCAGAAAGATAAGCCAGATCCACCTACCTGGAAAAGGAATTTCCGATCTGCTCTGAACCGGAAGGAGGTGTTAAAGGTAGCTGAGGATCACAGCAAGGACCCCCTGGATCCCCACAAGATCTATGAGTTTGTGACTCCAGGTGTGCATGGGATGGGCCTTCACATGAATACTGGGATCTGGAGGGGCCCTGGCACCCCTACTGAGCTCATCACCTTATTTGACAGGAGTTAGGGACTTTGCTGAGTTGGACACTTCTCCAGACATCAATGACAAAGGTAGTACCTCGGATATCCAGGTAAGAATGCACCCCTGCCTTCTGCCCCATCCATCTCCCTCCGCTTGGGTCATTTTCACCCTTACCTGCCTCATCAGCCTTCTTCCCCAGCCCTTCATCTCCCCCTTCCACTCTGTCCTCTGTATGACCTGGTGCTGACCCTGACCCTCCCTGCTTACACACTCTCCGTGGCTCAGGAGAAAATTGTTTTCCCCAGACATCAAGGCCCTAACACACTTTGCCAGTTCTGAGTTTTCTTTCATGGCAGGGTGCCCTCTGGCTCCTGGGAAATCAAATCCCCTCTGCCCAGGATGCCTGTGCCAGGGAAAGTCAGTCCCCTTCTGAGATTTGTGTCCATTTCCCCATGCCCAGGTATTGCCAGATCCTTGGGTTGGAATTAGCTTCTGCTCCCTCAGGGCCATCATTGTTGAGTGCCACTGTGTCAATTCCAACCCATAGAACCCCCATGTAGAACTGCCCCTCACCCCACACCCCCAGTGTTCACTTCCAAGACTGTAATCTAAATGGAAGTAGATAGCCAGATCTTTCTTCTGCCAAGCTGGTAGATGGGTTAACTGATCTTTGTTACTAGCCAAGTGCTTAATTAACCATTTGGGTCACTAGGGTCTAGGGTCAGCATAATAGTTGGCTATCTCTCCCATCAGACTGGAAGTCCCTAGAAGATCAGACTGAGTCTAGCTGTTCTCTGTGCCCCCATGTTGCTCAGCCCTGCTGATAGGATACACTCTTTATTTTTCCAGGAAGATATCCTAGAGGACTTACTGGAGAACATGGCCTTGGCCCCTGGGGGGTCCTCGGGCCTGCCTGTGGCCGCTGAGTATCCCCCTCAGGTCTTGCTGAGCGTTAACACAGACGTTAACGCAGAGGTCTTTGCTCCCTGCCCCAACCTGGAAAACCCACTGAAGCAGCTGCTGGTCCCTGAGGACGGTAGGTATCAGCCACGGAATGGGAGGGGCTGAAGCAGGACACGGAATGGGAGGGGCTGAAGCAGGAGGCACCTAAGGACCCCTTTACACTTGCTGTCCATCTCTCTCCCTCTTTATGCCCCCTCGCCGCCTCTGTTCAGAGTGGGAGTTTGAGGTGACAGTCTTTTACCGGGGCCGCCAAGTCTTTCAGCAGGCTGTCTTCTGCCCTGGGGGGCTTCGGCTGGTAGGCTCAGAAGCTGTCGACACGATGTTGCCTGGGCAGCCAATGATGCTGCCCGACCCCGGGGTGATCCTGACCGACAAGTTGGTGGTTGACTACGTGAGGCGCATACTGAGGTCCCTGGGTGGGGGGCTGACTCTGTGGAGGGCAGGGCAGCGGCTCTGGGCCCGGAGGCTGGGGCACTGTAGCACCTTCTGGGTCTTGGGAGAGGATCTGCTCCCCGATGGTGACAGCCCGCACATCGAGGTCCCCAAGGACGTGGGAGAAGTTGTGTTCGACCTGGGACCTTTTGTGACAGGTGAGTAGGTATCCAGCAGTGTTGGACAGTTTGTGATGAATGAATTCAGGTCCTGCAGACTCTGCTTGCTGTGTGTCCAGGGACAGAGAAATTGACTGCTCTGAGCTGAGCCCTGGGTACAGAAGGTGCCTTGTGACCAGCTTCAGCACTAATTGCTGTGGCAGGAAAGATAAATCCTGACGGCTGTGCTCGCTGGTGGCACTTTCTATGGTTTGAACTGTCCCATTCTGTGTCCCCTGGCCATGTGTACTACCAGGACTAGTGAGTGTGGCAACAGGCAGAAGCTGAAACTTATTTCATGTTAACTGGTAATGAGTGAAGTTTAGGAGGAGTCTTGGGCGGTGCTGTAGGATAAACACTGGGCTGCAAGGTCGATTTGAACCATTAAGGTTGACAGTTCAAACTCACCAGCTGCTCCTTGGAAACCCTATATGAGGTCACTATGAGTTGGAACTGGACGGCGTTTAACAGCAACAGCAATGTAATAATGGATACGCAAGGAGCTTGGTGGCATACTGGTTAAGCGCTCAGCTCTTAACCAAAAGGTCAGCAGTTCAAATCCCCCAGCAGCTATCCTGGAGCTGTCTGCTTCCATAAAGACGTGCAGCCTTGGAAACCCTATAGGGCAGTTCTACTCAGTTCTATTAGTCACCACGAGTCAAAATCGGCTTAATGGCAGCGAATTTGTTTTTTAGTTGAACATAAACACAAGAAACCCTGGTAGTGAGTGGTTACCCACTCAGATGTTAACTGAAAGGTTAGTGGTAGAATCTTGTGGTTCACAGTCCAGTGCTAATTCTATAGCATCATACACTATAGGGCCGTTCAACTCTGTCCTACAGGGTCGCTGTGATTCAGAATGGACTAAAGGGCAGTGGGTTGATTAGACAGCCTGGCCTTAGGGGTTTGGGAGTGGTCAACATTCAGAACCTTCTACTTCAGAACCACTTAGCACCCTGCAAGAAGTGGAGCTCCCTCCTCTGGGCCTGGTTCTGAATGTTCAGGATGCTAGAGCAGGTGGGGCAAGTCAGGGAGGTGGGGCTGGCCTGCTGGAAGGGAGAAAGACTGGACACCAGGACTGTGAGGACTTTGTTTGAATCAACACCCCTTGGGTAATGGCGGCTGAGCCATGATGGGCCTTGGGTTGAAGAGAAAGCTGGGGTACTGCACAGGTTTAGAGGGAGGAAGGTAAAGGGACTCCTTCCTATCCCTGACTGGGCTCCTGGGTCCCCAGATCTCATTGCCTTCATCGGAGGAAGTGGGCACTCGCCCCGCTACACCCTCTGGTTCTGCATCGGGCAGTTGTGGCTTCAGGACGAGCCATGGACCAAGAAGCTGGTGATGGTCAAGGTGCCGGCCTCTGGGTGTTGAGAGGGGTGGGGCTGACAAAATGGGGGAGGGTTTTAAGAACTACCACTTCTAGAAGTCCCTCTGGGAAAGTACAACTCTCATGAATGAGTCTTTGTTCCTCCAGTGACCTAACTTAGGGGACGTGCTTTGAGCGCTAGAATCCACGTGAGCAAACACAGCTCTCAGGAGCGTATCTTATAACAAGTGGCTCAGCCCTGATTGGTCACACCCTGACTTCTCGGAACTTCTGCCCTGTGGATCAATATGGGATAAACTATTAACTCCCAGCAGCCCTGGGCCTAATAGTGCCCCATGGTCTATAATGGGGGCTGCTGGGAGTTGTAGTCCTCAGCTCTAAGACAGAAAGGGGAGTGAGGTTTTCCCCTAACTTGGGATGTCTCCCTACCTCCTCTAGGTAGTTCCCACATGCCTCCAGGTTCTGCTAGATATGGCCCGGGTAGGGGGCGCCTCTTCACTGGAGACGGTGGACCTGCACATTTCTAACAGCAACCCGCTCTCCCTCACTTCAGACCAATACAAGGCCTGCTTGCAGGACCTGGTTGAAGACATGGATTTCCAGGTTGCTGGGGAGGTCTGAGCCCTGTCTCCCATTTCCAACAATAAACTGGCTCCGGTTACATTTGCATGTGTGTCTGGTGTTGGGTGTCCCCAGGACAGCCCTGACTCATGCTGAGCATTATTAATAACTGGTACCTCAGTTTACTCACACTAGGTCACCTCCCTACAACCACCCAGTGATCTGGTGAGGAGGTGACAGTCACCCCCATCTGACTGCAAAGTTGAAGCTTGGAGGAGAATGGAGATCACAAGGTGGAAATACCAGACAGCCCACATCCTCTTCTAACGCTGGGCTCAGGAGAAAAGGGAGGGACAGGTCGGGCCTGAGGACTGAGGGCTGGAAAGGGTTTGGGTGGAAGTTCAGTGAGCAGAGCTCTCCCCCACTAGGACATTCCCATCTGAGGTGGGGCTGGGGAACCAGGGAACTCCCCAACTTGACCCATGTCCTGCTTCAAGACCTTAGCAAGTTCTTTCTGCCTGGGCTTTAGCCCAGCCCTGTCTCTGCCTTTTCCCTCGACATCTTGGGAAGAGGGGAATTAGGTCAGCCCACTCTCACAGAGCTGCTAGAGAGAAGGCAACTTAATGAGAGACAAAGAACCAACTTCTCGGGGCGATTCTGCAGTAGCAAACAATACCCGGCTACCCTGAGCCCCAAAGATATTGGTAAGTATCCAGAGAAGCAGCAACACCAGAGATGGGAACGTGGAGACAAGGAGCAGCTGAGGACTCTAGATTCATGGGAAGAGAGGGACTAAGAGATGGTGGCCAGGAGGCAGACTTGCAGAATGTGCTCTTTGATGGTGTAAATTATTATAGATGCCTGAGTGTTTTTTTTTTTGTTTT